AGACGGGTATTGAGTAGGGACTATATTGGACCTTGAAGTCACAAAAAAATGGCAAAGAATAAAGAAACTAGGAGTTAGTAATCCAGATAAAGGCGTTTCTTTTTATTGTCGTTTAGATTTTGAATGATTTATTTAGAATTTTGCTCTGTACATTTAATCTAGTCTTTCTGATTCCCTTTATAAGTAGCTTTGGATTTAAGTAGGTACATTCAAACACTTACACACCTCATCCAGGGTAATTGGCAATACCTTCAATTGCAGAAATATATAAAGCATGTGCCCTTCAATTCAAGAAGAGAATTTCTTCCCTGAAGATCTCTTATTTAACTAGTAAACCACTGTACCTTATGTTATATATTTTACTACAGTATTTTGTAAAAGACAAAATAAGGTAAATTGTTAAATATGCAAAGAAAAAAATACTCAGTAGAAACTGATTTTGTCATAAGTGATTAATTTTGAAATGTCAAATTGTGGTTCTAAAACAAGGTTACTGACTTTTTCAAAGAATTTCTGGCAATATAAAGAAATGAAGCAATTTACTTTGATTTTTCTGAACTGCGATTTGTTTGTATTTAAAATGTATTTATGTTTCCACTGTTGATTTCCCTTGGTACATGGAGTTCATGCCAATTTCCTTAACTTATTGAATATTCCTTTGAAGTCTGCCACCTAGCCTTATGTATTTGCATTACTGCTCTTCTGCATCAAAACCTGACAATATTATATTCACCCGATCCCAGATTTTCTGCAGCTTCAACCTTATCTATCACTCCTGGCTTATTTCTAACATGTAAATCATATGCTTTCTGGATAAAAATAATTTTTTTTGCTGGATAACAATACATGCATTATTTTTCCTGACTCCCTATCAGACAGGATTTCACATGAAATGTGGAAAGGAAAATATTGTTAATACTGTTAATGATCTGTGAAGACATTTTAATGTTGGCTGAGGACCTATTATCCTTTCCTGTGGAAAGGATATAATTGGATATGTTATTGGTTTATAGAAAACTGAATTGCATGGCATTTCTTAGCATGGCTAGTCAGGGGATAGCAGTGAGGATATGGAAAGGTTTGGCATCTGAGTATAAGGCACATCCAAATCTCTTCCCAAAGAGCAAATAATTAAATAATATTAAACATTGCTAGTTATCTACACAGTAACTGTAAATCTGGTTTTTAAATCCCCATGTATTCAGAGTTCTCCTGTATTTGATTCATGGTAGTAGAGAGGGAGTCAAACCTAACACAAGTCATACAATGAAGAGAGGCTCAGATTTAAAAAAATGTCAAAAAGGATGTTTTTTATATGGCATTGTGTTTAAAGCACAGGCAGGCAAACTAAGGTAGTACTTGAGAAGAACATTCCCTTAATAACTAAAGAGCTTCCATGAGAGCATTAGGGAGATCTTCAACACTAAACTTTTTCCAGAACTTATTTACTTCTAAATCCTATATGCTGCCCGTTTCCTATGTTCTCTCTTTCACAGACTTTGCTTGTAATTGACAAAGCTTGTTAGCTTAAGGCATACATTTGAGTTTAGTCTAGGATGTAATTTACATACACGAATTACTTTACTAGTGAAAAATATTATCAGTTCTCCCACAACTAATAGAAAACTGACAGAAAAATGTAACCTAAAATTTTGTTGATTCAATCATACTCAACCCCTAAGATCTCTGAGCAATTTGTAGATAATGGATTTCCATTTATGTTTTATAAGTAGGCTTAGTTTTTAAGACATATTGTAATGGTTGGATCTTATGTAGATGTAAGATATAGTATGTCAGATGGTTATTGCTGAGAAGTGACAGTAAAAACAGAATTAATAAAATTCCCATATGGCACTCCATTACTATTAATGAATAATTTTATTTTTCAATGTCTTTATTGTTCTGCGTTCATGTATTATGATAAACACATGAAACTGCTAAGAATAGAATGGATTTGGGCAGAGGCAGAGTCTGCCATAAGGTGAACCACCAGTCTAAGACTATGTATAATCAATACTCTACAGCATGTAAAAATGTTCTGAGCCATTTCAAATACTATTTGATGACAGAATTAAGTCAGTCAAAGAAATAATTAGATGGAGCAAAGACAGCAGCAAGCTTGCTGTTTTAGAGAATACAACTGATAACATATTTAAAAGAGGGACGCATTCTTTTCAAAGGGATAGAATTTGGTTTAAATAGGAAGGAATACACTGGGGGAAGACTTTGCTTTAATGAATGCAGTTTTAGAGTTATATCCTTCTCATTTCTCCTCTCCTTCCTCATCTTTTCTCTTCTCTCCGTCTTTACTTCTCCCCTTCTCTCTCCTCTCTTCTCAGCTTCTCTTTGTTTCTGTGGTTTTCTTAAATTCATCAGGTGACTACTATATGAAAGGCATTTCATTAAATATATGATATGCTTGTTAATCATCTTTAAGCAAACACTTCCTGGTGTTTTTTTCTATTTGAAACCAAGACTCATAGCCCTTTACGATGATCATTCTAGAAATGAGAACCTTATAAACAATTGACAACTGCTGTTTTAATACTGATCTCAAGCTTGTCTGCTTCCTGGATCTCATGATTTGATGATTCTCTTATTATTGAAGCTAGTGTAAAAGAAAGTACTGTAGAAATGCTTCTCTTTGGTAGCACAGAGTGATGTGAAACAAGAAAAACCCATTTTACTCAAGACATAGTCAAGTATCTAATTTAAGTTTGATTGCAATAAGTAACTGGGAACTAAATCAACACCATTACTAGAACAGGTTTTGAAATTCTTCGTATGACATAGAAACCCTCAAAGTACTGTAACATAAAATCAACTGGTAAAGCAAATTAGTTGCTACCTAGTGGCTATCAACCTTCACCCAACTATTTAAAGTGTCATGGTATGGGCCACAGGAAGAAGTACTTCCTGTCCTCAAACTGATGTCCTAAACCTAAAGGATATTAGTTCAGCTATTATGTGGCGAAGAAACACTTCAGGATTTTTAAAAAATATGAAGCAATAAAAACATCTCATGATTACTGCCCCATTCCACTTTACACAAAATTATAAAGGAAATTCTTGGGAAATAAGCTATAGTTGCATGGGAGAGGATAAAAATTATCTTTGAAATCGTAGCAGTTATTACTGAAAAGTATCATGCAAAGTGTATTGGGATGACTTATCAAAATGATATAAGCCAGGAAAAGAGAGTTGAGTTAATTTCAGTTTGAGGGAAGAGGAACAAGTTTAGAGCTGTAAATTTTTTATGAAGCAATTTGGTTACACCTGATTTGTATGTGAGTCATGAAAACTGAACTGAGTTTTCTCTTCTATGAAAGCTAGAGGCAAATTTGGCTTAAAGCCTAGAATAACAGAGTGCTAGAATGTTCTTTTAGATCCCTCTCCGGAAAGTTGTTTCTGTATTTGTGTTGTAGAGAGATCATCTTACTTCTATCATTCTCAGTGGTTAAATGACTAGACTTTTCTTTTTAACAGTGATGTTGAATAATTCAAGTCACTACTAAAGTTCATAATATCATTTCTGCCAAACGTATCTAAATTCATCAAGATTTGTCATTAAGAGTTAAGGGGTAAGTCATTAAGCTACATATAATCGGTTAATCTTCTCAATTCTAATCACTGAGATATTAATTATATATGGAAGCTACATTTAATATTTGCAATTAACTCTGAGAGGTTGGTTTGTGGAGCTTTATCTTTCAAATCCTTTGCAACAAAAACAACAACAATAAACTTTATGTTCATTTGATACCATTTCTGTTTCTAAGGGAAAAACAAGATGGTGTATTTCCCATTAAAATTAAAATAGTTAATTTTTTAATTCTCATAAGTTTATTTCTACTCTATCAGTGGTACTGTTGATCACAAAATCTTCAACCACTTCAGTAAGTTATCCACTGGTAAAACTAAGTGGCATCGATGCATATTTATCATTTGCTGCTTTTTATGTTTTGAGTAAGATGATAAGGGCAACTGAAAAGCAAAAAAAAAAAAAAATCTGTGTAATAATTTTAGGATTTGTTGGCAAAATTATGCTAGGGAAAGCAAGACATGTGCATGCTGGGATTTTGTTTTATTTGATTTCCCAGTCTTTTCATGTGTTCCCATTACATTGCTGGTTGGGCCAGCCCTCCTGAATACATTGATGTCATTACCATAATCTGTGGCATTCATATTAATTATGATAAAAATCACAAGATCTCTGATTTCAAAACTCCAAGAATCAATATTCTACTTCTATTTTTCTATGACATATAAAATACAAAGTGAGTTTGCATCATTCAGGTCCAATGAAAGAAGTGAGCTGGATATTTTACTAATTAAAAGGGAAGAAGCAATTTGTGATGACAATCATCCCATGAATAATTTGTAGAGTGTTTTAGTAAACTTTGGAATTGCATTTTTAAATGCGCAATATCCTATATTTGCTTCTCTCATTGATAAAATGTGGCTCTGGTATTTTTAGGGAGTCTGCACATTAATTTTCATTCTCAAAAATTTCTTCCAAGTTTGCTACTTCCTGGTTTTTCTTCAAATAATTTTTCTTTAGTGAAATTGTACTTTAATTGAATCTCTATAAACTCACTGAAATGCAAAATTACTCTTTCTGTCAAGAACACTTCGTTTTTAATTCTCTTTTCTACCAATTCCAGGTGGCAAAATGACTTACATCCCATCCATCCTTATTTTTTTCTTGAGTTACAAATTTGAGATCTGAAGTCCTAGTTCTTTCTTAAGTAAAAATTTTTTCAGAAGAGGCAGTACTGTGCCAACTGGATGCTCAGAGTTCAAAACATTCTTCCACTTCCTTTATGCCATTTCCATAGCATTGGGCATCATAAGTGTTGTCACTACATTTAAAAAGTCACTTGTATTTATTTTCAACAATATGTTTTAGAAATACTCATTTTTGTATTGCAGACCTGTCAATTGTGAGCACAGTCCTACTACTGTATATAGTGGCAGAAAAGTTCACCTGAAATACCTACCAGCAGGAATCCTGGGGGGCAAAGATCCGCCCCCTGGCACTGGATGCGGGGCCTGGATGCTATTTAAAAACCCTGCCCTCAGGAAGCTGGGACATAACGCCTCCACCCCAATGGCCGGGAAGGATCCTTTTAAGAGATAAAAATTGGCATTAATCAGAGTCTTCTCTATGATCATTCAACAAAGTCTTTTTTGTTGATCATTTACTTGGAATAAAACCCCAAACCGACAAAGACAATACATTTTACAAGAAAGCTATAAAATTCAAGGGATGGGATGCATTTTTTACTCATAAATTTATAAAGTCAACCTAGTGCTTTGAAAAGAAAACTACTCTTAACTAGTTACAATTAAAGAGGGCTTAGATGCATCCAAATACTAAGATAAACTTTCTAAACCTACATTTAAAATATAAAGTCATGCTATGGAATAACAAAGTAAATATAAATGCCAGCCATTGATATTGTTTGCAGAATTCATGTCCACATGAGTTATAGGCATGCAGATTATAGCCACGATAAGATCTGAGATCTATGCTCCATCAAAAGGAGACTTGTTTAACTTTAGTATCAGTGTCTAAAATGAGAAAAAAACTTTTATACCATATGATGATTACATGCTTTTGAAACAGGAATAAGAAAATCAAAGTACAATTATTAATTTGCTATACTTTTCTATTAGGGACAAGACATGAGAGTTTGCAAATTTAGAACCATATGCTTTTTCTTTTTTTTTTTTTTTTGTTGGGGTCTCACTTTGTCACTCAAGCTGGCGTGCAGTGGCATGATCACGACTCATTACAACCTCGACCTCTGGGGCTCAGGTGATCCTTCTGCCTCAGCCTCCCAAGTAGCTGGGACCACGAGTATGTACCACCATGTCTGGTTATTTTTTAATTAATTAATTAATTTTTTTGTAGAGATGAGATCTCGCTATGTTGCTTAGGCTGATCTAGAATCCCTGGGATCAGGCGATCCTCGCACCTTGACCTCTTAAAGTGCTGGGATAAAGCATCCAGCCTGCTGTTTCATTCTTAAGAAGGGTACTGTAAAAACAGCAGCAACAAAAAAGTAAACTGCTTGAAAATATCCATAAAATTATATAATGAATCATAGAATAAAAGAATGTCAGAGCTAGAAAATACTCCAGAGATCATCTCAGTCAAAAACATTCATTTTACAGACCAACAAATGGAGGCCTGGCAAGGGTCAGTAAAGCCACACAGTTGGCAAACTACAAGGGCAAATTCCATTCCAGAATATAAGTAACGAACCAGTTCCTATTTGGGAGATTGCTGTCCTCTAAACATGGGTTATAAACCCTGAACTTTGGAATAGTAACATCACTATTTGGTGTTTCAATGCCTTGAAAGTTACTAAAATCATGCTGAGGAAAATTTAACATACATGCAGTATCAGTGAATGGGCAGCACTGGTAACTGGTAGGGTCAGTAGAAGGTGAAATCACATTAGGACCCTTAAAACAAGTTATACTGGTGATCTTAAGGAATGGATCTCATTCAGGTCCTCTGAAACTCTGAGTAGCTTCACATGTTGAGCCCTGGGTCTTCCTCCCACACTCAGATTTTGCAAGTCCTGTGTTTGTGAAGAAACGTCATTCTGTTTCTTGACACAGATTTTCCACAAAAAAGTTAAAATTTGAGGCTTTCTTGAACTTGGATCAGAATGAAAAGGACCTAGTCAGTGTGTATATATATGAAATCTTCTATGTAAATATATATAGCTTCTATGAGGAAGGTTATTGGAAAGAACAGCTGGTATCTCTTAGATCTTCAGAAATGTTTTTTATGAAAGATCAAAGTTGCAATGTATATTTTAATGTGTGAGACCTATACAGTGTGCACTGGATTACAGAAATCATAAAAACAATCACATATGGTGGACAAGCTAGTTTTGTCATTGATTTTATGGGGCCTCAGTAAAATGGTCCTGTCAGGAAGAGCTGGAGTTCCTTGAACATTTAGAGATGTGGCAAAAATGCCAAGTAGTAAGTCAGAAAGTGCTCGGAAGTAACTTTCAAGGAGGAGTGAAACTAATTTCTCCTTTGTGAATGTATAGGATATCTATCATTGGACACAAAGTTACTATACACCTGTGTGTGATGTTTCCCATACAAGGTGTTTTCCATATGGCAATATTTCATCACTGTCTGGGATAACATTCATAGCAAAGACGCTTCACTGAACACCAGGTGGAGGAAATTATATCATATATTTATATGGCATTCTTACTTAAAGTTACAAAGGAAATGGTATTGTTGCAACAGGGAAAATAATTACAAGAAATGCAGATTTCATTATATACTGCAAAAAGTTAAAATAATACAATTTTAGCGGATTATGGATTTATTGAAGTCACATAATAGGAAACTCAGTTCAAGAATATTAGATCATAAAATAATAATGTAGTCATGTACAGCAAAGGAAAAAAGAATATCAGTGAAATTAACTTAAAGGAAATTCAAAGAAAAACAAAAACATGTAGAGCAGTGAGTTTGGATGATATTAATATTCTACTCATTTGGAGATTTTTATCAGAGTTTTGCTATTTTTATCAACATTATTCAAAACTGTTAACTTAGACAAGATGTCCATTATTTTAACTCCTTGGAAGAAATTAAATACAAATATTAGTCTATTGCTATGATTACACTGATTACTGTTTTCGTTGTTGTGACATCCTGTCCTATTTAACAGCAACTTTCTTTTCCTGTACTTTCAGCATTGTTCACAATGACTTGTTATATTTCTTTACCATGGGTAAAAAGGTATTTTATTTATTGTGGCATCTCTTTCTTAAGGAACTGTCTTTTGTTTTTGTTTTTGGTTTTTTTTTTTTTTTACAGCTGAAAAAACAACAACAACAAAAAACAAAACAGAAAGACTGGTGTACATGAGTATATATTAAGATATAAAATTATGTGATAATAATGCCTTATCATTTACTTTTTTCTGGAAAGTCAGTCATGTCAAAAGTGGTTGCATGAAACACTACAGTTTAAGTTTGCACAATTTAACCAGAAGAAGTCAAAATTCTTCTTTGTTATAATTCTCTACAGTAATTTATAGCATTATACACTTTATCCTCCACTAAGAAGTAAAGACAAACACCATAAACCTGCTATGTTTGAACAACTGCTTCTTAGTTGTGATGGCAGATGAGGCTGCAAGCTCCGTAAGTTTACACCACCAGCGAGGAAGACTGGCAAGAGTAAGAGAAGACATTCCATGTAAACCATTGGAAGAAAGCTTCCTGTACTCCATGGAAAGCTTTATTTTGGCTCTCTTTAACTGACAGCATGCAGTCTAGAAGAAGATGCTCTGCCTACTTTGGCATGAGGTGGGGTGGCTGGGAGTTCACTGTGGTCTCCTCTAATGGGATCAGAAGATACACAGATGTGGGTTTCAATAAATGCAAGTTGAATAAGTGGATACATAAGTGATCAAATAAAAGGTGACAAATTGTTACTCAGGCATATATCTTGCAGGGACCTAGAAGTATGTTGCCTGCTCAGTTACTTCCTAAGCCAAGAGCAACTTTCTATAGCTGGAAGGGAGCTCATTTGCAATTAGGCGTTTTACCTACATTTATATTCAATGGGACTTGGATTCTTTACTAAAAAAATACCTGAATAAATTTGCAATCAGTTAATGTATCCATCAGGTTTAATAGTAACAATGCTTAGGTTTGAGGCTAGGCAGAACTTTGAATTCTGACTCTACCCATCACTGACAGATTGATCTTGGATAAGTCACTTACCTTCACTGATACTCAGTTTTCTCATTTGAAATATGGAGTGAGTAATGAACATAATGGTTGATTGTGATCATATGAGACGTGTCTGTCAGTGGCTGACAGCGTCCAACACACAGGGGTTCAATATATTTTTCCCTCTCCTTCTCCTTCTCAATTTCCTAATCTTAGCCTACCATTCCATATCTTCAGGCTTCCATGATATTTCCTCTGTCTGCAAGGTATCACCTCTGTCAACATGTGCTTGATATACCTGGGAAGAACTCCCTAGTCTCTGCTCTGTGCCTCCACAGAATCTCAGGTATTAGAATAGGGCAGAACACTATCCCAGATACAGTATTTGTTTGTTTACAATGTAGTGGCAACTAAACTCAAATGCCTTTAGGGGCCCGTCAGGTGCAATAGATAAGTACATCAGGCTGGTGACAGAGGCATTCAGTGGCACTGAAGGGTGAAAGCTCTGACTAAAGACCATGAATTCAGATGTTCTAAAAAAAGACTATAGAAATCAGATGAAACACATCTCTTGAATGACTTCGGCACACGGGCTGCCAGCTGGTGACTTCTGGCTTACACATTCGTCTTTCACACCAGGCCGTGAACCCTTGGGGATGAGGATGAGTAAGCACGTCTCATTCTCCTGGACAAGTCCAGTGCCAGAGTTTGTGCGTGGCAGGAACTCAAGACAATACATACTGACTTGCATTAAAGTCATCTTTATATGAATTGTTCAAAGGTAATTTGTGCACAAATAATAGACTGAGTTTTCTTGGTGCCAGAGCTTTCAAAACCATATATATATACATTAATAATATAACTATCCTCCAAAATGTGGGTAATTATTACAGTTCCATGAGCTTGATCATGTTGCACTTTAAATGCATGTGAGGAGCCAGTGTTTAGGAACCAGGGGCAGACTAAAATTCTGAAAATTCTAAAGTTCTTTTTGGCTAAGAAGAGATGAAGGGGCGAACTTCCACCTGAGCCCCCAAAGAGGCTGCCTTGGTTGGGAGATTCCTACTTAGCTGTTTCTTTCTGGGGTCAGACTTTTAAACTATATGTCTTTAAAAAAACGCTTTTATAGCTGGGTGAGGTGGCTCACGCCTGGGAGGTTTTGGAAGGCTGAGGTGGGAGGATTGCTTGAGTTCAGGCGTTTGAGACCAGCATAGGTAGCATAGCGAGAGACAATCTCTATTAAAAAAAAAAAATAACCTGGTGTGGTGGTAAATGCTTCTAGTACCAGCTACTCAGGAGGCTTAGGTGGAAGGATAACTTGAGCCCAGGAGGTCGATGCTGCCGTGAGCTGTAAGCATGACTGAGATCCAGCCTGGGCAACAGAGTGAGAACTTGACTCA